AAAAAAAAAAAAAAAAAAAAAAAAAAAAAATTGGACATTGCAAGGGACTTTATTTCCCTTGTATTTGTTTTGGTAGAATGATAATACATGTCTTTCAAATTCATGATTCAGAACTCTTCAGTATCCCAGTGAGGAAGGAAGAAAAAATGATCTTCCACAGATAATGCATCACAGCTTGTCAAAGCTCAAGAACTTTCACATCATCAGAAGTTGCTGAACCTTTGTTGAGATTCTAAATTTTCTGACTCTGCTAACAGTATTTTAAATCCTTTCTTTTACAAAATGCTAATTACTTTTGAGATAATAATGTAATTTAGGAAGGAATTATTCTTGTTGCTATAGAAACATTACTTTTATTTGGACAGAATAAGCTTTATTTTTTCTACAGCTCATTTTACAGGCATTTAAAAGCTTGTAAGTGAAGGTGTATGCACTATATTAAGTTACTAACATTGAGATTTAGAAGTTAAAATATTTTAAAATGAGATTCTTTTGACAGGCTTTGCATATTTTAATTTGTAGTCTTTTCCTTTCTTTTTTTTTTTTTTTAGCACCAGCAATGTTTAGCAGTATTCAGCAGAGTGAAATTTACTCGTGTGTTACTGACAGTGCTTATAGCCTTTACCAAGAAAGAGGTAAGAGAATTTGCTATCATGTGTAAGGCACGTGGATTTTACAGTGTTTATCAAGAATCTATTTCTGTTGATATAAAAATATTAGTAAATAGACTAGAAGCAGAACTTGCTTGTAGGTTGTCATATTTTGTGGATTTAAAAGGAAAATTAAAAATGGAAAATCTAGGTAGACTTGTTGTTCCTTTCAGTTAAATAACAACTCAGATTTTCAGAGGTCCAAAAGCAAGCTTTTGTGGTCATTATCATTTCTTTTGTCTCATGTCAACACCAGTCAGTTACAGATTAATTTGTGAGTAAAGATCCAGTCTTTATTAGGGCTCTCATATCTGTAATTTTATTTTTCCTCTACCATCTTGACAAATATTGTACAACTGTTGAAAAAATTTTCCCCATTTTTCAAATGACTGTGTCTGTGTTTTATTTAAAAAAAGATTAATACAGTAAGCCAGATTTTAAATAACTTTTAGTGGACCCCATAAAGCATAGATGTGAGGGGGAATAAAACATTTATTTTCTAACAGGATCTGAGCATCCTGCATTAAGTGAATAATTTGTGAAAACCAGTATCTTTATAGCAAGCATTTAATTTCATTATGGTTTATAGGATTTTCCTATTTAATGTATATCTTTCAGTGAAAGAATATGTAAGAATGTTTTTGGTGATTTATTTGCTAGACCAGCGCTGTTGCAGAAGCTCAAAAATTGATGATTCAAGCAGCTGACCTTCTTTCTGCCATTCATAATTCATTGCACCATGGCATCCAGGCACAGAATGATACAACAAAAGGAGGTAATTTCCATTTTGCCCTTGCTGTGTTTTCTTCATTCTCATCCAGAATATACACAGTGTTTATTTTATTCAAGTATGTTTTCCTAGACCTTGGAATGTTTACTCTAAAGGCATACGGATTATTTTGGACTCTTTTTTTTTGTAAATTTTCTTAGGCTGAAAACAGTATTGTAGAATCTGCCCATGTCCTGTGTCTCACTGCTTAGACTCTGCGTGGATGCCTGTCCTTCTGATGTTCTCTGCATATATTCCTGCTGTGATATCAGCAGTAGCCTCTTATTTACCCCTTTGCCTGAAAACTGATCACTTCATTACGGTCTATACTAACCGCTGGGCAGGCCGAGCGTTTCCTTTGTGGCCTCATTGTGTTCATCCATGATCCTAATATTGACTGTAGTTGTTTACCTATTTTCTTTCTGTGACATTTGAGCAGGTACTTCTCCCTGGCTCTTCAGTGCTTGGCATGTTGTTGGCACTCAGATTCGATTCATGAAGAGTACCTTCTTCCGATAGCCCATCCTGCTTCTTCCAGAGGGTACTTTTACCTTGCTTTTTCCTCTTACTCTGTTAACACTTGCTCTGGAGAGCCAGTTTCTTGCTCACTCTTCACTTTTACTTTTTGACATGAACTCTTTTTACTCACCCCTCCCTGCAAAAGAAAAGAACCTTAAAATAAAAAAGAGTAGAACACCTTGTACAATTTGCACCTGGGTTAACATTTTAGACATTGTGTAGCGAGTCTGATTATTTTTAGAACTCATTATAATTAGGTGGTGTTTAAATTCTTTACCTTAGCGTTTACTAGGTGTTGGTTCTATGACCAAGAAGGCAAGACCTTACTGATTATCATCCTTTTCTTTTTCAGTTTCCTCTCGTCCTTTCTTTTCTTCTTTTTTCTTTTATTTTTTTTGGTATCGTGGATTGAACTTGGGTCCTTGCACTAGCGAGGCAGGTGACTGAACCACTGAGCTAAATCCCCGGCCCTTCTCATCCTTTTCAGTGGCAAGAATTGTGGTATTCTCTTTTTCACAAACTTTTCTTTAATCACATGTTAGGTAGTATAACAGTCCCAAGGTAATTTGGGTTAGGAAATTAATATTCTCATAATCATATGTCTGTTTTAATTATATTGAATTTGTATAAATTGATCAACATTTCTCTTTTTCCCAGGTGAAAGTATGTTCATGAGATAACTGACAAGGTGGAATTTTATAACTAAGGCACATTTTTTAAAAAAGATTGTTAATACATAACCTATAGTACATGTTTACAGAGGTGTAAAATAGCTATAACTCTTAAACACTTTGAAATCTACTCCAAGAATACTTTTATAGGCCAGTGCCTAATACATGACTTCAGAGTAACTGGTTGGTTTGGCTAATGGAAATGTTAATGATGCAAAGCAGGAGTCTTCCAGGTTACTGGAATGTGATGTTCTTTATCACCGTATGCCATTCCTAAGAGCTGTTCTGCTCCATTTCTGCAGTCCAGTAGGCTCTGAGGATAATTCCTGTAGGTCCACTAGTAGCTACATCTTAGGACTTCTCTGTATTTCATATGAGTGTTACAAAAGTAAATTTGCTTGTGCCTATGTTTTCTGCTACTTGTCTGATTTTTACAAGCCTGTTAAGATTCAGAAAGATTGTTAACATAGAACTATCTTGAATGTATATTTTTATACTAAGAAAGTGAAAATTTAAATTTAAAGAATATTATCCCCATGGTTGGTTTTTTGTATACCTTTTCGCTGGCTTGATTTAACATAATTTTCTTTATTGAAACCATAAAAATTCTATAATTAAAGAGTTAATGCCTTTCTAATGTGTACTCTAAAAAGAATGATGAGAAAACAATAGTGTAGATTAATATTGATCTTACCTTACTCATTTTACCTTTTAATTTTTGCAGTTTCAGCTAGAGACAGAGTAGCTAACTTAGAAGCACTGAGGGATCATTTAGCTTCTCACTGAAAAAGTATGTATTGAGTGGGACTTGGGAACCGTGGAGTTAAGAAAATTGGAAGAATAAAGCATGGCTTAAGAATGACGTGCTGGTGGGTTTATTCAGTGCACAGTAATGTTTTAAGATGCAGAAGGCAGGAGAGGTATGGGAGGGGAGCCCAGATGATGAATGGTATTGTTTATGTGGTGCCATGTGGCAGTCCACTAGTAAAGTAAATATTTGGCCCTGCAAAATAGAAGAAAATCGGACTTTGAAGTCATTTTCATGTTAAATCATATTAAAACTGAAGAGAAGGTTGTAATTACTCCAGACTTGCTGGATTCAGGAATTTGGGTTATACAGTGTATCTTTATTGAAGGAACGAAGAAGAAAGAATCCAATGAGGAAGGTGTTGCTCTTTGTCTTTGGATATGCTGTCTTGAGTTTATATATATTTTTAAATAAATTGGTTGAATTGTGTGTCTTTAAAGGGACATTTGAGTGGTTTCCATTAAGATTTTCCAGGTTCCACTAGTTAAATTATAATTCCTTCCTCAGTGGCCTCGTGGTAATCTGTTTTACATCTCACTGTTCAGATAATGAGCATCTTTAACAGTTGCTAATGTGAATAAAAATATTTAAATTTGTTGCCTTGAATTGTAGATACTTTTGGAATACAGCTTCAGGTCCAACACACATCTTCAAGACAGCATATCCTTTTCGCAGGGTGTGTATGAGCTTGCACTGAGCTGCATCTCTAGCCTTTTCTTTATTTTCATTTTTTATTTTAGCGAGACAGGGTCTCATTAAGTTGCTCAGGCTGGGCTTGAACTTGCAGCCCTCATACCTCAGCCTTCCAAAGTGCTGGGATTATAGGAATGTATCATTCTTTATGCCTGACTAAGAGATAATCTGATTAAAATTAACAAGGTAGCATTGATGGCAATTGTTGAGGAGTGAAAAAAGTTATAGATTGAACGCTTTACATTTACCTTGTGAAACCCCAAAGAAACATTGAAGAAAATTTTTGTTTTCTGTAAATAGACAAAATTAAGAGGAATGGGATAGGGAAAGGAAGTAATAGAAAGTAAGTGTTAGAAGCTGGAAAACAGAAAGACTTAGCTGTCTGCAAATAACTGAGTCTTGCCCCACTGATTCTGGACTGATGGGGCTATGAGACATAGTTGAAGGGGAGTAAACTGAAAATTGAAATGCTTACTGTGACATATTCCCCTGACCCCCAGCTTCCAAAATAAGGAAGTCAGGTTCATGCACTCCACATAAGAGTTTGGAAGATTCTTCATAGGGAAATCTGGCAAGACCAGTAGGTAGAAAAAACCAAAATGTAAATATAATATGAGCAGGTCAGCTGGGCGTGGAGGCACATGCCTGTAATCCTAGCACTCGGGAGGCTGAGGCAGGAGGATCGCTGTGAGTTCGAGACCAGCCTGGGCTGCATAGTGAGCTCCAGGTCAGTCTTAACTACATAGTGAAGACCCTGTCTCAAAAAA